GGGTTTTCCCTAAGGCTGCTGATACCTCCGCCTTGTTGGTAGGTGTGGTCCTTTTGACTTCATAAGGACTCACACTTGAAGAATGAGTTTGCTATTAGTATATAGGATAAAGCTACACAAACCCATCAAAATATAAACACAGTAGAGTGGCATCTTTTATTTTGTCAGTTCATTTGCATAGATTAGTTTTAGGTACACAGAGACATGGTGGTGTGAGAAAGCAAATATGTACAGGGTTCTGGGTTGTTGGGTTTTTGTTTTTTGTTTTGCTTTTTTATTTTTATTTTATTATCTTCTTTCAGCCCTTGGAATATAATGAATCACATGGTCAGCCAAAGTCATTCGGCTCCTGAAGTATGAAATTTAAACCCCCACCCCAAGTTTGAGATGGCTGATTAGGGGCACCATTAAAGAGCAAAGGAGCAGCAGTGATCTATGTTTTGTAAAATGCTTTGAACTTCTATTACAATCAAATGGCATGCAAATATTGTGCAAAAATAAATAAATAAATCAAATATACCAAACTGCAAAAGCATGTTTCTTTAAAAAATAGAGTGCAATCCAGCCAAAGTTAAGAACCTTTTAAGTCTCATTGAGTCATTTCAACAGGGTACAGTTTAGCATTTGCCTGTCTATCCCAGTGAAATGAAGTGATTCAAATCTGCTCAACCCTGGGGACAGACAGGATCTGGGGAAATAGCTGGATTACAACATACTAACAAGATAGTTCGAAAAAGACAGAAGAGACACACATATTTTGCTGATGTATGAACTGTTACATATGGGCATTTAAAAAAAAATTGTATGGTTTGTACAGCCAGTGGTTTTTCCTTTCTGCCTTCTGGGAGACGTCTCCACATTATCTGTCAAGGAACCACTGCTTGCTGTAGAAAATTCTGGGGAGTGTTTTAGCAAACATACCATTTAGTGTGAGTGGTGGCCAAGCTTGCTGGGCCTCAAAGTTGTTCTGGGTGAACTGAGTGTGCTCAGGGACTTGCCCACTGCCCTCTTGCAGCCACATATAGCACAGAAAGTTTGGCAGTGGTCGGCACATTCATTTCAAAGAAAATGGGCCCACCACTGCAGTTCTCCACACAGATGAAGCATTATTCTTAAAAGGAAGAGCAAAGGAAGGGGGGCTTAAAGGGAAGATTACTCATTTTTTTAAGTAGCAGGAAAGTTGTCTTTTCAGGAAGCACAGGTTTGGCCTCCTCATGAGGTGAGGTGAAGCTGTTGTCTCAGGCAGCGGATCTGGGCCCGAGGAGCACACTGTTTACCTCCTTGTCTGTGCTTGGGCCTCTGTGGTTGTGCCCCTGCTGCTACACCCTCCTTGTTGTGCCTGAGGTGCATTATGGCAGTGCTGGCAAGAGGGCAGCGGTGGCAGCACAATATGAGGGGGCAGTGGCAGTGGCAGTGGCGGTGGGCAGGTTCAAATCTGTGGGGAGGGGCCAGTGGCATTGGGTGGCCATACATTTTGCTTGAAATACTAAAACATCCGCGGTCAGATATGAGGATGTATCTCTTCCAGTGCTGATATACGCTCTGATAAAGCTCTGATAAGATACTTATCAATACTAGGGGTCATCAGAACACAGCTTTGCAAGCCTTAAGACTCCCTTCCAAAAGCCTTAAGTTGGCAAGTGCTTTTGTCAGGGCATCCTTCACATCCTTGTTCCTCAGACTGTAGATCAGAGGATTGAGCATGGGGATCACTACTGTATAGAACACCGAGGCCCATTTGTCTTGGTCCAAGGAAAGAGTGGAGCTGGGCCGAAAATACATGAAGAGTATTGTCCCATGGAATATCCCAACAGCTGTAAGGTGGGAGGCGCAGGTAGAAAAGGCTTTGCGTCTGCCTTCAGCAGAGCGCATTCTTACGATTGTGCCTAAGATGTAGATGTAGGAAACAAGAACCATGCCAAGGCTGCTGGCTAAAATACAACCAAACAAGACAAATAACATGAGCTCATTTTTGTATGTGTCAGAGCAAGAGAGCAATAGAAGAGCAGGCTCATCACAGAAGAAGTGATTGATGATATTAGACTTGCAGAATGGTAGTTGGAATGTACAGCAAGTGTGTATCATTGCATCCGCCATGCCTATGAAGTAAGCCATAGCCATCAACCGTCCGCAGACTCTTTTGGACATAAGGACTGAATAGTGAAGGGGATTGCAGATGGCCATGTACCTGTCATAGGCCATCAAAGCCAGCAAAAGGCAATCAACATCTACAAAAAAGGAAAGTATATATAGCTGTATAGCACAGGCATTGAATGAAATCCTTTTGGTCTCAACTAAGAGGTCAGCCAGCATTTTGGGAGCAATGGCTGAGGAGTAGCAGAGGTCAGCAAAAGAGAGGTTGCCCAGGAAAAAGTACATGGGGTTGTGAAGCTGAGGCTCAGTGCAAATTAAGACAATCATCCCCACATTCCAGATTACTGTGATGACATAAATCAGTAGGAAGAGCATAAAAAGAGGGAGCTGCATTTTTGGATCATCTGTGAATCCCAGAAGAATGAATTCTGTTACGACAGAATTATTTCCTTGATGCATCATTTCCCTCAATCAGTGCTGGGTTCAGGTTGATTCTATTCTTTTCCCTGACTTTTCCTTGAGAAGGGAAGAAAGAAGATTTGTGTTTTTGACAGTTCCCTCCAACTTCCTTTTTGTTTAGAAACAACAGCAGCCCTGGATTCAAGATAATGGCCATCACAAGCTCAACTGCACTAGTTCAACACAACACCAGCTGTGGTCCACATCCCTGGCACATCCCTGTTTCAGCCTTCCTTTGGGAGGCTGATAATGTATATACACCCGCAAAGCCTGAGCAAAGCCTACCTTAGGTTTGCCATATTTGAAGAGGTAAAAATCCATATGCAAAAAGTTCTTGAGCTTTTTTAAGGGCAATTGCCGAAGAATCCCTCAGCCTCTGCCGAGCCCAAGCTGCCCACGCCAGAGTCCCATCCATATGACAACCCTATCTATATCTGTAATGTACAAAGTTGTGGCCAAATTTCAATCCCAACAGTTGTCTTCTTGAGTTTGTTCCACCTACCTTTGCTATTGTCTTCGTCCATGGGAGTGTGGGGCTCTTCGAGTGTGTCCGCAAGAGAGTTTTTTTCTTTTGAAGAACAGTGTCAATGGTGGACAGATTCAGGGCTTTAGACCCTTTACCAGAGGTCTGGTGATGCTATAGCAGAACCATACACTAAATATCTCTTTCTGATTTAGAGAACTTACCTGAGATGCAGACTGGGAGGTTCCTCTGCTTTCAGAAACTGAGTAGGGGGAGAGACCTTAAATACTAGTTGCTAGCACCTGGGACATCATCCCTGATGCTACTGAATACCCCAGGTATCCATGGTTGTTTTGATTAATAATTACATTTTAATTGGCTGCTTGCATGCAAGAAACCTCTAAAACTTCCCTTCTGATTTTTGTATAGTCAGTTTCAACTATCTAGGTCTACTTTAACTTCTACACCCTGGTCTGGATTCTTCCTGTCAATGATAGTGAGACCTCGCCACCAATCAATGGCAAGGCTTGTGGATTCTGCCAAAATGCTAAGGCATGCACTCTCTTTCAGTCCATGATGGCATGTAACAAATTGTACTTTGTTTGCTTCCTCATCAAATCCAGTTGGACCATGTAGGACCCACCAGCAGCAAATTTGTTCTGTTTGTCCTCTTTGTGCTTCACAGCCCTCTGATGATCATTTCTTTTGTGAAGATATCACATCATGAACCTAAGTAGTGATAATTGGGCAAACAAACAAACAAACAAACAAACAAACACAAACAAACAAACAAACAAACAAACAAACACAAACACAAACAAACAAACAAACAAACAAACAAACAAACACTACCTTGCCGTTTTAAGATGGTGGTTCAGATGCCTCTTGCATTGGCAACAAGATTTGCATTTTATATTCATATGCACACGTTATCTCAGTGTCTCTGTTTTTGCAGGTGTGGTGGACCCTCGGTTGGGGCAGCAGGCTCGGCCATGCCTCTTGCGTCGACCTCTCGGCAGCTTCAGTTGCTAGGGCCTCCTCCAGAGCGACCTGGAACGTTAGGTCCTTCTTGGCGTAGAGGCATCGTTGAAGCTTCTCATCCTTCAGGCCACCAATGAGGTGGTCACGAAGCATGTTATCCAACTCTGAGAAGTTGCAGAACCAGGCGGTTTGGTGGAGGGAAGTCACAAACCCAGTTATGGTTTCTCCAGGGGCTTGCTGCTTTGCGTAGAAGACATTTTGTCGAGCCACCACTGAGGGCTGCGGTGAGAAGTGCCTCTTCAGCAGTTCCACTATTGTTTTGTAAGGAACAGTAGCGACGTCTTCAGGTGCAAGGAGAGCCCAGGCGATTTCAAACGTCTCCTCTCTGCAGATGCTGAAGAATATCGCCCTCTTTTTGGCGTCTTCTTCATTGGTGACCCCTTTGGCTTTTAGGAGGAAGGTGAAACGGGAGGTGCACGCTACCCAGTGTCCTGATGCTGGGTTGAACGGCGAGAAGCTGCTGTCGGTTGCCATTCTAAGTTCCTTGGAGCCCGGAGCTGAAGCCTGGATACACGGTACGAGGCAGCGGTGCAGCAGGTGGTGGTACTGCGGTGCTGTGTGCGGCGGTCAGCTCAGCTGGATCCCACCTTCGTCGCCAGTGAAATATACTCGGAGTCAAGAGTGGATTTCATGCTCTTTATTCAGCTCATAGTGGTGAGGAGGAATGGAAGTTCCCCCAGAATGTCTGCTTTATATACATTATTTACACAATGGGCCCCACGTGATTGGCTAATTCCGGGATTCTTCTGTAGGCCAATCAGCTTGCAGATTCATTTCTACCTGGAACTGGATTGGGTGGCTACTGTGGACCAATCAGACTGCTGTATTTTGGATCCTATTCAACTCAGTACATAACACCAGCAAACACGTACATAAATATATACACCACATTTCTGAAGCAGCACAGGAAGACAGTCCTGATACCGTTTTGACTCCCAAACTGACCAAATGTTTCTCTGCAAGGAGAGAGGGGGTGAGGGAACCTTCCCATTGTCTCAGGAATTAAGTAATTACCATCTCAAAGGAATGGCCAGACTACCAGAAAAGGCAATCAGATAAGGCATTATCAGATAAAATGGCAGACAGGAAAAACAACAACATTCAAATGTTTGTTGTAGACCACTTTTTCTGTGATGTAGGTATGATGTTTGTGGGGGGTGGTCTTGGGCTACACCCCTTCTGTGATGTATGTATGATGTATGGAGGGGTGGTCTGGAGCTCCAGGGCAGGGAATTTCAAAATGTCTATATAAGGGCGGGCATACCTTTGTTCTGGGTTCTCCTCCTGCGTGTGAGGGGAGCGCTCTGTTGCAACAGCTTTAATAAAGATCAGGCTTACTAGCTGCTTTGCTTCACAATATTCTCTGGTTGGCCTCTGTTATTTTCTCCTGCCGATGGAGAACCTACAAAGGACTCTATAAGGGCTCTTGTGTACCCCATAAGGGAATAAGGGCAGATTTTGTTTACAACACCCCTATGAGGCAGTTGGGGAGACTGAAGCTACCTGCCTTCCTACAGCTGCCTAAGTCCTCTTGTCTCACCAAGGGCTGGGAAAGCTCACAGGCAGAGGGAGGGGAGGAGATAGATGACATTGAGGGGGTTGCTATGTATCCAGGAAATGGGCAGTGTTTAGAGGGATCTTTGTTTGATAGCAGGGAGGGGGTGACCAACTCGTAGCTAATGGCAGCAGGCCTGGAGCCGCTTTCTGCGTGTAAATTGTAAATAAATGTACATAAAACTGCCAGAGACTCATTAATTCTTATTGGAGATTGCTTGCCTGCCTGAGATCATTACACCAGGGTTTCCTCCAAGCAATCTGGGATTCTGCCTGCATGTCTGCATTGCCTCTCTTGGTCCTGGGAGACTGGGGGAGGGTGGGGAAGGGGAGCCTGTCACAGCAGGAGGGGGAGACACCCATGTTTCTTCACCAGCCTGACTCATCTCTACCTCTTGGCCTCCCTCATCCCACTCTCCTGCTTCTACTTCTGGACTCCTGTCACAGATTCTCCCAGCTCACTAACTCCTGTTACATCTTCAGCTTCTGACACCTCCTCCTTCCAGTCTCCTCTGACCACTCATTGTTGTCCCACCACCACATCCTGGGTATACCCTCCAACATTTCTCAGATGAAAATAGGGGTGTCCCATTCCACAATGATAATTTTACTATTTATACCCCACACATACTACTGGGTTGCCCCAGCCACTTTGGGCAGCTTCCAACATATATTTAAACATTAAAAACATTAAACATTAAAAAACTATACAGGATTGCCTTCAAATGGCTTGGGGGGTCTGATAACTCCATACCCTCCAACATTTCTCCAATGAAAATAGGGACATCCTAAGGAAAAGTGGGGCATTCTGGGATCAAATCAGAAACTGGGATGGCTTTTCTAAGTCAGGGATGTCCCTGGAAAATAGGGACACTTGGAGGGTCTGCCTGGGCTCTGAGCCTTCTTCCCTTGGGGTTCCCCAGTTGTTTCCTCCCACTATTCCTCTGCATCCAACCAGCCCCTGACAGTACCCCACTAAAGGGATCCAGTAAGGAGTGCTTTGTCCAGGAGCCCAGATGAGGGACAATGGGCTATAGCACCCATCCAAAATGGCAGTCCTGGAGGGATTGATCTGATGTCTGTCATAGGGTGACACTTAACCCAGAGTTAACCCAGATGAAATAATAAACCAGAAGGCTGGGTGGTTGATTCAGGATACATATCTGATGCCTTCTCCAAAACCTACTTAATCAAGTTTTGATTTGCAATCAATAAAGTTGTGGCCATTTTGAACCCAATACCAGTTGTCTCATGCCTTATTATTTCCCTCCCATTGGCCACATGGTCCCTGTACCTGGGCCCACAATTGGTGCCTGAATTTGTCCCCACACTGTACCGCACCACACCTTTCCCTTTTTGTGTCTTGTCTTTTAGACTTTATGGACTGTCTTGTTAGAACTGACTGGGAATAAGCCATTCCAGGAACAAGGAACAATTGCTCCCCACAAATAAATAATTAAATACATTTCTATGATTCTTCTTTTGAGAGTCTCTCAGTCATGAGACTCCCGAACAAAGACTTTAGTGACTATTGTTCTCCGGAGGGCATTCTTCACATCTTTGTTCCTCAGACTGTAGATTAAGGGGTTCAGTACAGGGATAACAATGGTGTAGAAGACAGAGATGTATTTGTCAGAGGTGGGTGAGTACCAGGAGCTGGGGCGGGAATAGATGAAGAGGAGTGTCCCTTCATAGATGATGACGGAGGTCAAGTGAGAAGCACAGGTGGAGAACGTCTTGCTTCTTGCCGTAGCGGAGTGCATCTTCAGGACCGAGATGACAATGAGGACGTAGGAGATTATGATGATGATGGAGGACATGATTTCCACTGAGCTTCCATATGTGTAGAGCAGGAGCTCATTGAGGGAGGTGTCTGAGCACGACAGCTTCAGAAGCAATGGGAGGTCACAGAAGAAGTGGTTAATGACATTTGGGCCACAGAAGGAGAGTCTGAAGGCAAAGCAGGTGTGGACCAGGGCACTCAATGTACCACCAAGGTAAGAGAGGGCAACCAGCAGGAAGCAGAGCCTTGGTGACATGATGACGGTATAAAGAAGTGGGTTACAGATGGCTACGTACCGATCATATGCCATGGTAGCGAGGATGAAAGACTCAGTGTCAGCAAAAGTGCAGAAGAAATAAAACTGCAGTCCGCAGCCGGCGTACGAAATACCCTTTTTTGTTACCAAGAAATTGACGAGCATCTTTGGGACAATCACAGAGCAATAGCAGAGGTCAACCAATGACAAATTGCTAAGGAAGAAGTACATAGGGGATTGGAGCTGGGGGCTGGTTCTGATCAGAACCATCAGCCCAATGTTCCCCAGCAGAACCAAGCTGTAGAGCATCAGGAATACCATGAAGAGGACGACTTGAATAGCTGGGCTGCTGGCAAAGCCCAAGAGGACAAAGTGGGTCACAGTGGTTTCATTACCATCTGACATCTCTTTGCAATACGTTAGGTACTGGAAGGAGGCAGAAGCTGGATTGCAGAACTCAGTGTGCTTAAGGAAAGAAAGGCAACAGGCTTTTCAATAAAGCAGGCACCACAAAAGTAGATCAGCAGCTACGACAATAAAGAAAGGAAGGTGTCAATTTCACATGGGCAGCACCGTATAATTAGAAAGAAACACTGTTAGATGGTCATGGGAACAAATGTTCAGAGGATGAAAATCAGTTATAGTCACTGACCTGTATCAGGAAACAATATGGGCCATTGTTTCTCTCCTTTCCTTTCATCTGTTGTTGTCTTTTGCTAACTAACACACAGCTGGGGAAGGAACTCCACCCCCCTCCTTATTTGATGCTGAATGTCTCGGCTTCTGTCAGGATTCTAAACAAACAAACAAATTTGTATACCGCCCTGTATGTGCAGGTCTCAGGGTGTTTACAACATAAAATCACAATATCAAAATACATAACAAAAACAAAAAACAACCCAGTAACCCCTCCCTCCTGAACACATTTTAAAATGGCATTGGATGTTCATCAGCCAAAGGCCTGGTTAAAGAGTAACATTTTTGCCTGGATGAAGGAGCCATCTAGGATGCGGATGGATGGATATGAAAGGAATCTCTCCTAGTTTCAACAAAAAGAACTCAGTACTCTCAAGGTATCTGCACACATCCACTCCGCCTTAAGGACAGGACTCTGTGTATGCACAGAGGCTATGTTTCTTGAATCTAAAAAACACACAAATATGCCGGTCATAATATAGAAATGGAAGCATGGGAATGACTGTGGAACACGGATATAAAATTTACAGCATGTTATGGTTTAAAGAGAGAATTATATGAAAATGCTATATAAATGGTACCTAACACCTAGCAGATGGGCAAAAATGTATAAAAACGTAATCTTACAGATTGCTCCATGAAATTCAGTTAGCCATCAGGTGGTGCATAGGTTCTGTTGCCACAAAGGGCCTCAATATTAGTTAATTAATGCTGAAAAATAAAATTGTGATAGTTAGTCTTCTGAACAAAAATGCAGACCCATTCAACATACTTTTGGCTCCGTTATTTTCCTTCTCTGAATTCACAGTTTGCTCCTAAGCTGGAAAAAATGCTATATATGCACCTTTTTCGAGCCCTTGGGGCATAACCTCTGAAGGATATGGCACCATAAGATCTCAAGAGTATTGTCTGCATAGCATGTTAATTAAACCCTGACAGTTTTGTGCATTTTGCAGAGTTATTTTAAAGATAATGAAGTGCTTCTTTTGAATCATGCTATGAAATCTGTTTTAAGCTCCAGTTTTTACAGTTGAGATCCCATGCTTAATTGTGACAATCAATCAATAGTCTCTGGACTTGCTGATACAAAGCAAGCATTCCTTACCACACATATGCTCAGCTGCCCCTTACAGTCAAGCTCTCCTGCTTGCCAAGAGGCTATTCAGAAGGTTCTGAAGTGGGACTATTAAACAGCTGCCCCCTTCCCCCAGTCAGACTGCTGCTTCCTTTCCATTAAGCTACAGCAGGGGGAGAGATGGAATTGTAGAAGCTCTCTATAAGCTCAGCAGAGGGATCAGTGACTTTCAGCTTCCTGAGCTCATTCCCTTCCAGCAGGTTGTTCCAAGAATGCTGCAATTAAAAACTAGTGCTGAGTTTGTCCCCCCCTCCCATTCTTCTCATACCCTCTTCCTTCGTGTTATCCCTTTTTAGATTGTATTATTGATATTTGTGAGCTGCTGTGGGAACCTTTGATTTTGGATGAAGAGTAGAGTAAATATTATCCTCTGCTTCGAGGCATTATGGACCATGTCTGTAGCAGAGAGCCTGCCTTATAGGTGTAAGCTCATCCTGTGATGTGGATTTCTGTTTGCACTGGGTTCCACATCACAGTCTATGCATGGAAATCGCGCTGCCCTCTACAGATAGTCCTCTGTAGAGGGACAACAAGGGATGCAGCTGATGGGGATGCAAAGGCAGAGGTGGGATCAGCAGGTGGAACCCTTCTCTTCTCCACTTTGGGGATGCTAATCTAATGAGGGGAATGCTTGAGCAGGACTAGAGAAACATGTTTCTCCCTCTCACCCTCTCTTAGGTCCTGGGTGCAGGTATGAGAGGTCAACGGGATGCAACAGCCAAACTTCTGGCAGTGGCGGAGCTTCATGCTCTGGCATTGTGGAAAGCAGGCAGGGGCGGGGCTGGCGTGTGTCCTGGGGACGTGGTGTGCTGCCCATAGGGGCGTTGCGTCGGTCCAGGGGGTGTGGCGCTCCACCCGTAGGGGCGTGGCGTGCATCCTGGGGGCGTGGTGTGCCTGTTGGAATTTTCCGTTCCACCTTAAGAACAGACGTGTGGAATTGTTGTATGTCACATGTCTGTTTACACTCCAGCACAGCTTGCTGGGAACTTCCATTTTGTGTATAGCTTTTGCTTTTGCTGTCTTGCTTTGGACACGAAGAAGATCGGACATGTTTTCCTTTTGTCCCGATGTATGCTGAATAAACTGCTTGTAAATATGCTCACACATACTCTTCTGCCACTTCTGTTGCGTAGCGTTATATCTGTTGATTAGAGCGTGCCCTAGCTTTTGAAGTTTGGGTCGCTGATTCATGCTGCACCAAGGATTGGAGTTCGTCTGGGACACTGGCCAGTGGGATGGAGCCAGCTGGGGGCCTGCCAATTGCCCCCGCTTCCTTGGTTGTATGCCAACAGTGCTGCCCATAGGGGCGTGGCGCCCAGCGCAAGTGGGGGGAGACAGCCACGATGACACCCTGCCGGGATCGTGCTGCCGGGGACAGTGCGCTCCCCCCGCACGTCTCTTCCTCCGCCAGTGACTTCTGGTAGCAGTTAAGAACATAAGAAGAATCTTGCCAGATCAGGTCAATGGTCCATCTAGCCCAGCCTCCTGTTCTTACAGTAGTCAACCAGAGGCCTCTTGGGAGGCTCCCAAGCTGGACTTGAGTGCACTAGCACTCTCCCCACTTGTGTTCCCCAGCAACTGGTACTCAGGGGCACAACTGCCTTTGACAGGGAAAGTTGACATCAGGGTTAGTAGGCATCTTATGAATTTGTCTATAAGCCTCTTTCATCCCAGTTAGCATCCATCACTGCCTCTTACAGGAGTGAATTCCATAGTTTAACTATGTGCTGTTGGAAATTATTTTGTTGGTACTGAATCTTCTAGCAGGATATCCTCCTTCTCCTATTATGAGAGAGGGAGAAAAACTTCTCTCCATCCACTTTCTCCAAATGGTGCATAATCTTATACACCAGAGACCTTCCCATATTCTTCCAATTGTGCAAGCGTTTTTTGGATACTTCCCACTGGGTTTTCAGTGGTTACGATTACATAATCTGCAAAGGCTTTCATTTTATAACATAGAGTTCCTCGGTTAATTCCTCTTATGTTTTTATTCTTTCTTATTGCAATTAAAAGTGGTTCCAAGGTGGCAATAAAGAGAAGTGGGGAAAGAGGGCACCCCTGTCTTGTCCCCCTTTCGATGCTGAACTTTTCGGTGAGCTTGTTATTTATTAGCAATTTGCTTTTTGGTTATCATATATCCCCCTAATTCCATTAATTATTTCCCCTCCTATGTCCAGACCTTTAAAAGTTTCCAATAGGAAATTCCATGATACTCTATCAAAAGCTTTTTCTGCATCGACCAATAACATGGCCATCTTTTTACTTGGTTTCATTTCCACATACTCCAAAAGGTCAATTATTATTCTTGTATTGTCTTTAAATGTCTATCCGGTAAGAAACCCACCTGATCTCTGCTGATTATTTTGTTTAGAATCTTTTTTAGTCTATTAGTCATCAATCCAGTATAGATTTTATAATCTGTATTCAACAGGGAGATTGGTCTATAATTTTTCATGTCTGTCAACTCCACTCCCTTTTTCGGGATTAGAGTGATCAGTGCTTCTTTCCATGATTGTGGTATATCTTTTCCTCCCAATATATTATTCATTATTCTGTGTAATATAGGGAGGATTACTTCTTCCAAGTTCTTATAGTACATTCATGTAATTCTGTCAAGACCTGGTGATTTGCCACTCTTCATTTTCTTTATTACTTGTGCTATTTCATCTATTTCTATATTGGAGCTTAGGGCCTCAACTTCTTTTTCAATTCTTGGTAATTTATTTTGTTGTAAATACTCTTCCATTTTATTAACATCCAATTGTTCTTGTTTATACAAATCTTTATAAAAGTTTAAAAAATTTAGTTTTATTTTTACTGGGTCGGTTATTTCCTCCCCTTGGTCCAGAATTTTATTTATAATTTTTTGGTTTGCTTTTCCTTTATCATCCATGCTAACAACTTGCCGGGCTTATTGGTGGACTCAAAATACCTTTGTTTTGCCCATTTAATTTTATTTTCTACTTCCTTATTTAATATTCTAGAGATATGGGATTGCAATATCTCTATTTTTTGTAATATTTCATGACTTTTTGGATTTTTGGTCAATTCTTTTTCATTAATTCTTATCTGTTTAGTTAGCTCATGGATGTTATTGTCATTTTTCTTCTTCAGCCTAGCCATTTGTTGTATTCCAAGACCCCTCATGTACGCTTTACTTGCGTCCCAAACGACATTTATATCTGTATTTTGTTTATCTCGAAAAATTTTGCTAACTTGTTTTTTTGCTTGTGTCACCCATTGTTCGTCTCTCCATATCTCATTGTTCATCCTCCACCTTCCGTTTGTTTGCTTTTAAATTTCCATATGTATTGTTACTGGATTATGATCTGATATAGTCCTTCCCAGAATTTCTGCTTTTTCTAAGAAGAGGGTCAGCCCTTTAGAAATCCAAATAGCATCTAACCTCCCCCCTGATTTTTTAGCTTCCGAGAAGTGTGTAATATCTTTCCCATTAGGGTGTTTAATTCTCCATGAGTCATAGAGGTCAAAATTGTTCACCATCTGGAAAAAGGAGAGTGGTAGTTTACCTTCATTGGTAAGTTTCCCTCTAAAAGTTCTATCCCATTCAGCTGAGACCACTCCATTCCAATCTCCCATAAGAACAATATTCTCCTCAATATAGTTCCATAACTTCTTTCCCAGCTCCTTAAAAAACTGATTTATTATTGTTCATCCCCCCCCCTTCTATAGTAATCCGCACTCCTACAGTTCTACCTTCTTCAGCCATAGAAAGTAATTGGGGGTCTAGGCTTGCTTTAACATAAATCACAACACCCCTCTTTCTCTCTGTTCCTGATGCAATAAACTCTAGACCCAGGTTTCTATTCTGTAAGACCCTTGTATGACTTTGGGAGATATGGATCTCTTGTAGGCATATGATAACCCATTTTTTCCTCTTTAATACGTGATTTATTTTATGCCTTTTAAGTTTACTGTTTAGCCCATTTACGTTCCAAGAAATGCACTTTAGTGCTATAAAGTCTTAATGCTCATACGTCACCTTTTCAAAATTAAAGTTTAAAAATAAAGTCCTATTTTCCAGTTCTGTTACAATCTTGCTTCTTCAGCTTCTTGTGGTTTCTCCCCCCCAAGTCCTTCTAGTTTTTTTTTACGAAAAGAGTCTGCTTCTTCTGCTGATCTGAAGGTCTTGCGTCTCCCTTTATAGGTAAAAGTTAACCCTTTGGGGAATTACCATCTAAATAAAATTTTGTTTTTCTTTAGAGCAGTTGTCAGGGGTTTGTAGTTTTCCCTTTTCTTCAGGAGGTGGGTCAGGACCTCTTTCATTATTTCTATGACTTTGTCATGTATACATAAGGCATTACTTCTACTTTTCAATAATGTTTTTTCTTTGAGAAGTCTTGAGTTCAAGAAGACGAGGCAGTCTCCTGATTCTTTTTTGGTTTTAGATTTATGTAGTTTTATCCTGAAAATTTTATCAATATCTAGTGATAAGTCCTCCTCCTGGACCCCCAACCAGTCCGCCAGGACTTTTAATAATTTTGTCGAAATGTCCTCATCCTGGCTCTCTGGTATTCCTCTCAGACAGAGAAGCATTTCTTTTTCTCTCAACTCAAGGACTGCCAATTCATCCCAAATCTCCTCCTGCATCTTCCTTAGGTCCTCTATTTCCCCCTTGTTTTTGTCTTGGATTTTTTTTTTCAGTTTTTTGCTCAGCCCCCATCTTTTTGGTTATTTCTTCTTGCTTCAATGTCTTTGCCTTCACTTCTTGCACTGTCTTATCAATTTCTTTATTCTTCGTTGTCAATTGGTTCATTTGATGTGTAAGGTCCATTATAAGAGCTGAGTTTTTTTCAATTTTATTGCCCATAGTTACTACTTTCTCTTCCAGTGATTTTATGTTTCCGCCTACTGAGTTTATTCTGTCTCCTAAGTCTTTCTGCATGGCAATAATCAAATCCTTTACATCCATACTTGCTTCACCTTCCACCACCAAAGTTCTCCTTGCTTGGCTGGCAATTAAAGTTTGGCCAATTGTTGATTGCGTTGTCTTTGAACCCATTTGGGTATTTGGATATTTTTGGATGGCTGGTTATTTTGAGATTGAGTTCAATTGTCTTTCGATTCTGCTTTTCTGGCTCGGATTCTATATAGTCTCCAAAGATTAAAACTATTGGGAGTTCCCCTGTGGGAAGTTTAATTGGATCTAATTTTCATGAGTAATTAATTTTATCTTTATGCTGGATATATTTGGAATTTTAATTTTTCCTTTTATTTGTATCTGATGTTTATGCTTTACAGTTCCTCTAAGCAAGTATTGGTGTTGCGGGTATGGCTATATACATTTCCTCTTGGCTTCCTCTTTTCCTTCCACTAGTGGCCGCTGTGTCGCTCTTCCTACTATTCTTGAGTATTATGTCTCTTAGCTGTTATGTCTTTTTCTTCCACTAGTGGCTGCTGTGTCGCTCTTCCTGCCGTTCCTCACTCTATCTTTCTCTGGTGTTAAAGCGGCTCATTGAAGTCTTTTCCAGTGTAGTCTTTCAGTAATGGCCGCCGCCCACCCCACTCAATCTGCTGACTTACTTCTCCAGCCTTCTCCTCACCTCTCTAGATCTCTGCAAGTCACTGGTAAAAAGCTCTCCTTATTTCTGTCGTCTGTATAGCTGGTCTAAACTGTTCCCCCGCTCCAAAATCCAGTGACACTTCTTGGGTTGACTGTGTTATTTTGGGAGCACACAGAAGCCCCTCAAGATCTCTACTGCACTGCCGATTCTGCAGTTTTAATTTCCGTTGTGAGGGATGATCCCCTTTTAGCATTCCACTCGCAACTTCTTAATTTTATCTGTTTGTTAGTTCTCCTTTTTTTTGTTTCTGATGTATTGTTGGGGCTTAAATAACCCCTTTCTCACTGTATATATGGGGGGGGGGAACGCTCCTTGAATTTGTGTCAATATCTTACTGGAGAGTCCAGCGCTAGCTCATGGGGTCTGGAGGTGAAGGCACCTGAGGGCAGTCTCGCTCCCTTGCGCTGAGGTTCTCCCCTAAATTTCTTCTTTTTAAAGTATCTTAAAGTCCAGTTCTAGTGTGGGGAAACCCCTTTTTGCACTGCTGAGCGTCTGCTCCCGGGAAATCCACCCGAGTAGGGGCAACTTACACCTCCTGTTGCTCCTGCTTCGCCTCTCCAGGTGCCGAGTGTGTCTCGAGCAGCTCAGAGCTCAAACTCTGACCAAACGCTGAGCGCACTAGTAATTTCATATCATGTCATGTATTCCAACATAGCAGCAAATAGTACAATAAAGCCAATTTTGACCTGAGTCCATGATTTGGATAAATGCAGTGTTCCTTGCTGCCAGTTCCAGATCAAAGGATGGCAACCAACAAAATAGTTCTGTTATTGCAAAGGCTTCTGGCTGTGCAATGGAACTTAACTTCTCTCTCCACTTCCCATGTCCATCCCCTAAATAAGCTCTGGGGGTTCTCCAGCCCTCTGGAGCAGATTTTGGGGAAGTATAAGGGTATGCAGGGAGAGAAGAGGGAGAAGAAGTTCTATGGTGCCAATGGAAATCCTTGAGCAAATGGAACTTCTTCATTGGACAGCACCCCAAGGGTGTGACAACACTGCATATGTAGGATGATAGTATGTTCCAACCTTCTGCTGGCTGGGTGAGGTCTGTGCTTGTTTTTGGAGGCAGGTGGCGCTGTGGGTTAAACCACAGAGCCTAGGGCTTGCCGATCAGAAGGTCGGCGGTTCGAATCCCCGCGATGGGGTGAGCTCCCGTTTCTTGGTCCCAGTTCCTGCCAACCTAGCAGTTCGAAAGCACGTCAAACTGCAAGTAGATAAATAGGTACGGCTCTGGTGGGAAGGTAAATGGTGTTTCTGTGTGCTGCTCTGGTCCTCCAGAAGCGGCTTAGTCATGCTGGCCACATAACCTGGAAGCTGTATGCCAGCTCCCTTGTCCAGTAAAGCGTGCGCTGCAACCCCAGAGTCGTCCGTGACTGGACCTAATGGTCAGGGGTCCCTTTACCTTTACCTTCACCTTCTATGCAGTGGAGTTCACCTCAGCCTCAGTACTCAAGTTAAATTGCTCCATTTGAGCACCTCTCATTTTTGGGGGGGAATGTGCTGGACTAGAGATTTGTCCCACCCTGACAAATGTGTTGAATTAAAACCAATAAGCATAAATAAATAAATAAATAAATAAAACCACACCCACCAAGTATTGCTTTAAGGATAAGGCTGACTTTCAAAGTGCTATCACCAGATACTACTACTACTGTACTACTACTACTACTAATTTATTTATACCCTGCCCAACTGGCTGGGTTTCCCCAGCCGCTCTGGGTGACTCCCAATAGAATATTAAAAACATGATAAAACATCAAACATTAAAAACTTCCCTAAATAATGATGTATAAGGTTGGGAGCTTTTCTCATTCTTCCCCCAAATGTTCAGGTTTTGGTAATATTTTAAAATATATTTTCCTAAAAGAAACTATGAAAGGCAAACCTAGATTTATTCATGTCATATTTCAGTACAGAAAGAACCAGATTTTGTTTTAAAAAACATTTTATTGGATTTTATAATTTTATGACACTAAAAATGAAAACCATTAAGTAAGACCTAGATTTTCAGCTGGTCAGGACAGTGTTCTTTGTGTGTGTTAGGTGTCCAGCAAGCATTCCTTCATGAATCCCAGATGCTCAAGCAATCAAGGGTGACCAGTTCTTCATGTCATGCGTATCTTTACAGAAGTTGCAGAATCATAACTTATTCTACAGTGTGCTACATAGTAATTTTTGTCTAGGTTAATTTATTCACATGAGTGTTTTGGGTACAATCCTGCATACAAGCCACTGCATTTAGCACTACTTATTTCTATCCCCCAATATCTTAAACACTCTTAATAGTGCATTAGATCACACACTTCAATAAAATGGCTCAGTTTGTCAGAGTTTAGTATTTATAAGCTTCTCATGCTCCACCTGAAAGATAATTTCAGTGTTTGAAATCTTCTCAAGGCATTTTTCACTTCTTTATTCCTCAGGCTGTAGATCAAGGGGTTGAGCATGGGAATCACCACAGTGTAGAAGACAGAAACCCATTTGTCCTGATCCATGGCATAGTTAGAACTTGGCCGCAGATACATGAAGACCGTTGTTCCATAGAAGACAGTGACAGCCACCAGGTGTGAGGCGCATGTTGAAAAAGCCTTTCGCTTCCCCTCTGTTGAGTGGATTCTCAGGATAGCAGACAGGATGAAGGCGTATGACACCACAATTTCCACTGAAGTGAATATGCCCAGGACTGTGGCAAATACAAAGAGAACCATTTCATGGATGCTTGTGTCAGTGCAGGAAAGCGCCAATAGTGGGGGAACATCACAGAAGAAATGGTTGATGACAGAGCCACAAAAAGATAGCATGAAAGTGGAAATCGTTTGGGTCATTGCATTCATGAAGCCAACCAGGTAGGATCCAGCCACCATCAGAAGACACATATTGGGAGACATAGTAGCCATATACAGCAGAGGATTGCAGATAGCCACATACCGGTCATATGCCATTGCTGCCAGGAGGATGCACTCGGTGCTTGCACAGAAGACGAAAAAATACATCTGCACAGCGCAGCCTTTGTAGGAAATGGTTTTCTTCCCTGCTAAAAAATTCTCCAGCATTTTAGGGGCAATGGCTGAGGAATATCCAAAATCTAGGAAGGACAAATGGCTGAGGAAGAAATACATTGGTTTCTGGAGTTGAGGGTCAATCCTGATTAGGAAGATCATCCCAACATTCCCGGTCAGGGTGACTAAATACATAATTAATATCACAATAAAGCAGAGTGGCTTCAGTTCACGACTGTTCACTAATCCCAAGAGGACAAACTCATTTACCTTTGTATGGTTTTTGCTATCCATTTCTCTGCTATGTCTATCATCTGTTTATAGTATCCACTTTGCTGATGAAATCTGATCTGTAATTCAGAAAAAGTTTAAGTTGGTAAGGAAGCATGCTTGCAGCCTGGAGCTCTGAGAGCAGAATTCTTTGGCTGCTACCAGAGGTGGCAAAGAAAAGCACAATGCTAATGCAGGTAGACATGAGGTTGACTGGATGAGACAGAAGTGGATAGAATTTGCAGGCACTTGGGCCTCCCTTCATGGTGAATGAAGCCTGTCTGATTACAGGCAAAGTCTATAACTTTTTTTAAAAAAATTGGGGGCAGAACTAAGTTTGAAGGAAAGTGCTCTGCGGGCATGAATCCTGTCAAATTTCAAAAGGATAGCTACAGTGCTAGGTACCCTTAAATGTGAGTTTGGGGTGGAAAGTACTAAAAGGGATTGATTTTTTCTGGTAAAATCATCTCCTCTCATTACAAGCTATGTCAGTTATAGTGGAGCTTCCTCTCTGCTCTCTTCCCACAGTGGCGTATGATCTCCCTTCTTCCACAGCCCCACTCTGGTGTTATGGCACTGTGGTATACTTAGAGACATCATTATTGCTTTCAGAAGACACTTGCCTGCATTTTTTAAATGCCTCAAGCACCACAGCATGCATCAGGGGTGTCCAATTTAACCTATGCCACCGTGTACAGATCCTGCTTTACACCCCTTTGCCTCATGATTCAGGAATCACTCTTCTATTAGATGCACCACCGATCTGATTTGGTATAAAGCAGCTATTCTCCTATATGAGTAGAAGCCTGCAAGGAGAATCTATATCTCACTAAAGATTCCTGCATTGCAGAGAGCTGGACTAGATGACCCTTTTGGTTCCTTCCAACTCTACAATTCTGATTCTGTGAAAAGCTTTATGCACTGTGGATAACTGAGGTTTGTGCCACTTCTCTTGCAAGCTGCAAACTGTGTCCTGTTTCCAGGTTTAATCAAAATTGTCTGACATAAAGAAGTCTGCGAAAATCTTTCCCTCTGCTCAATATTTTCCCCTCTCCTCAATACATTCCAGCTTTTCACAATTTGCAAATCTGTATTAGATGTGCTACTCTAGGGCACATTTTCTGCAATAGATTAAAGCAAGGGAGATATGCAGATCCTCTCATGTGTAGTGCCCAGTTTACACATTGCAAAAAAACATTTATTATCGCTCATAAGTAAATATAATATTGACTCACTTTTGTTCTGTGGCATTCCTGAATTATTTTAAACAACATGGATATTGGTGGTATAATCTTTTCATTTGCTGGGGATCTCTGGAAACCATTTTGTGTTCACACCAAGAGTGTAGTAGAAGTGATCTTGAAATTTCTGATATTAAAGCAGCATTCACAGTGATAGAATGGCTCTTAGAGACCTCTCTCATGTGGAATATCCCTTGTGATCAAATCTCCTGATTCCTTCTAATGTTCACCAAACAAAGTGATAAAATTGATTCTCAAGGGCTATTGCACTGATGCTCTATGAAATCTTCACAGATTCAGAGAAATGTTGGTCACTGAATGTTACAAAGATGGTAATTTTCTTTGCAAAATGTGGAAGCTGTCATTTGCTGAATCAGGCCCTTGCTTCATTTGTCTCAGTACTTTTTTTTCTAGAAGAAAAGGTGCTTGTAGTCACCACACAAGGGAGGGCTCTCAGACCCTGTCAGAGAATGCTCTGGGCAGAAGCTTCCCGGGCTTTGGGAAGGAGGTGAAAAAAAAGTGCCAGTAATGTGTACTGGTGTGTACCGCCAGAAAAAAGCACGAAGTATTAGATACACCAGATACAGAGAAAATATCTGACATGCTGACAGGAGCGGATGGGAATTATAATAGAACAATATCTGGAGGATTGCAGGTTCACTACTCCTGATTTACTCAGACTGGCACTGTCTCAAGCAGGGGTCCTTCCTAGTCCTACTTGGCAAACTAGGGATTGAACTGGAGACCTGAAAGCAAAGTTTGTGCTCCACTCTTCCTAGCTCTGATTCTTCCCCACTGTGTTGTGCAAGGCTTACATATAATAATTTCATGGAGGTATTTACAAAATCACCCCAAGTTTGGTTCACTGGGATCCCAAGGGGAGACCCACTATTACATTATAGACTAAGCTACAAATGTCAACATAGCTCACATAGTCTGTCTGTGTAGAGGTGGAGTGGGACCACATCTGCTGGTTCCATCTTCAACCTCCACACATTCAGAGTAAGATGAGAACTGGCTCTGTGCGTGTACATAAGAACAATGGCCCATCTAGTCCAGCATTCTGTATTTACAGTGGTCAACCAGATGCCAGAGGGAAACTCCCAAGCAGGAGTCAAGCACAAGAGTAGTTTCCAGCAATTGGTTTTCAGAAGCAATGCTGTATCTAACTGTGGAGTCAGAGCATAGCTATAGACTAGTAGGCTAGTAGCCATCAATAGCCCTCTCTTCCATGAATTTGTCTAATCCTCTTTGAAAGTCACCTCATTAATTCCAATGAGGACTTAGCCACACTTCCTCTTGTCCTGCTCTTGTTCCCCTGGGGAAAACCACTCTTTAGCGATCAATCAGAGCAAACAGCAATTTGGGTTTTCTCCAGATGGATGTTTGCTCTGATTTAGCACTAAGGAGTGAGTAGGGCAAGGAGAAAACTGTTTGAACCCATGCTTTCAAGGCATGGGGCAAGTGGAAAAGTGGACAAACCCTGAGTCTACTTTAAGTAAAACTTAATTGAACACACACACACACACACACACACACACACACACACTCCTCCTATTTCCTATACTCCCCAGTGCCCCTAAATATTGGCTCCAGAGTGTGGGGTGGTCTCCCAGAAGAGGAAAGGGGCTGCAAGGAGGAGAGCAAATTGGCAAAACTCCCTTCCCTCCCTGTTAACAGAGGTATCTGCTAAAGCAATGGTCTTTCAGTGAATGCAAGAGCATCTACTGGCTCATCACCTTCTTTGTGTGCCTCCTCCACAAGATGTCTGGAGGGTGGCAACATGAGAATGGGCCTTTTCTGCAATTGCTCCCTGTTTGTGGAATGCTCTCTCCAGGGAGACTCGCCTGGCACCTTCATTATACACCTTTAGGTGCCAGGCAAAAACATTCCTTTTCTCCCAGGACTTTGGACTTTTAAACTGCGTGTCAGGGACTGGGCAGAGGAGGAATGGTGGAGACTGCCTCCCCAGCCTGACCCTTCCAGAGATGAAGAAGACAGTTCAGAATTACAACAGGGGTATGAGGGAGATGACAGCTCAGAGGCAGATGAGGGGAAAAGCTGGGAAATAATGGGAGAAGAGGGCTGACAACTGACGGACACAGTGTCTTTAGAAAGCATTCCATTCTAAAAACCTTTGTCAAAAAAACCAGAATCTTTCCTGCTTGGAATTTTAGATCATGATATAAGAGAGGGAAATTGGAGATTATTTATGTATGCGACAAAAGCAGCAAGAATCTTATTAGCACAAGTACGGAAAACAGAGAAAACGCCAACGTAGGAAGAATGGCAAGCCAAGCTTATAGACTACACGGAACTGGCTATGCTGACAGAGAGGATACATGAGAGAGACAACATCGATTTCAAAAAGGAGTGGGAACCATTTATAAACTATATAAAAAGACAATATAAAGACTTGGACCCATTGGCAGGTTATGACTAAACTTTCACATAGAAATATGGGGGAAGCCAAAGGGTGGGGGGTGGGGGAAAGAAATATGGATATATAAATTGTTCAGTTAAGATTTGTGGAAAATTTGTTGTTATAATTTGAAAATTCAATAATTTTTTTTTTTAAAAATAGAAAGCATTCCAGACCCCCCTCTCCCAGTATCCAGTGAACACTGAAAGTAGGAGAGCAGAGAGCTCAGAGGCAGAGGACACTTCTCAGCACCTGTAGTGATGATGCATGAAGAGAGAGAGGGAGGAGGTGGAACTTTACTCGGGACAATGTCATTATTCCAAGAGGCTGCATTTCCAAGCCTATCTTTGTGGATATTGAATAAAAAGCAGTTGGTAAGAACTTTTCCTTGTCTTATCGATTCCTGGCAACCTGCCGTGGGAGGGGGGGGGGGTTGGATTCTCTGATGCCTGACACTTTGTCCTTTTTTCTTCTTCGTGCATTGATTCTGAATTGGGACCCAGCATGGTGCATACAGAAGCAGAGCTTTGCATGAGAGAAAAAGGTGGAAGGGAAATAATAACACTTTACCCAATTACTTTCGCCAAATAAGATTTTTATACAGTGGTACCTCGGGTTAAGAACTTAATTCGTTCCGGAGGTCCGTTCTTAACCTGAAACTGTTCTTAACCTGAGGTACCACTTTAGTTAATGGGGCCTCCTGCACCGCCACCGCACGATTTCTGTTCTCATCCTGAAGCAAAGTTCTTAACCTGAGGTACTATTTCTGGGTTAGTGGAGTCTGTAACCTGAAGATATAGATATCCTGTTATTTGAAATTAAAAATAATAATAAAAAAATTCTACCCTGCTTCTTTTCCCTGGATTGTCTCACTAGATCTGGTTGTGGATGTGTTCCATATAGTATGAGCTAAGCACCTCCCTTGCCATTTTGATAGCATTCATTAGTTGCCCTTGACTGGGGAGCTAGTTACTACT